CACCATTAAAAACTACATACACTGGAAAGCAGCTCAGAGGACTACAGCTTTGATAAGGCAGAGTGCCTGCCATATGGCTGCACAGCAATACAGTTACACATCTCCTCTAAGAGGTCCCCTCAGTGACTCACAAGTTCAGGAAGCTACTGAAGTATTCAACTGACAGACTCGTATTTTTACAGTTGAACCGGAATCGTTACTGAGATTGAGTCATTCAAATTCCTTAGAGATACAGGAAATAGCTTTTCTACTGATTTCATTGCCTTTGTAAAAGGAGATCAGGACATGAAGATAGAGTTACATCAAATCGTGACTAAATTAGATTACAAGAAAAAAGAAAGCTCTTTTCAAAAGCATCTGGTGCACATAGCATTATCACATATTAAGGGTACAGTTGATTTTTCATTCATCATATTGCAAAATTTCTTCAGCCTTCTATTCTTGTATTCAGTATGACATTTCCATAAAGGAAATGTGATCCTCTACACTTCGACGGTAAGTGTATGATTAATGACAATATACTCTAACTTTTTGTATGAACACAACAGATAAATCAAAACTATCACCCCACCCAACATCTGGCAAATCTCATTTTCATGCACAGTATTAAACTGATTCAAGATTTGAGCAGCTGCACATGGAAGGCTGATGCAATTACCTGTAACATCAGCTCACAGTCATCTCTTCCAACAAAAATCATTTCTCGTGGCAGCCGATGGCGGGTGCCTCCACTGCTCACCAAAAACCAGGATGTTAAGCTCATTTTCTGCTTAGCTGATAAATCCTTGGCAAAGCTACGTCATCCTGCAGCGAAACAGAAAGAAAGAGGAACACAGAAAGTCATTTTGATTATTTTTAGCTACAATTCCTACTCAGCAAACACTGCAAGCAGAATACATAAAGCCTCTGAAAATACAGCATCTCTCAGTAGCAGGCACTGATGCCAGCAACTGGAGGAAGCGACAAGGCCACAGACTTCCATAGTCCTGATGCTCTGCTTCATGCAATGAGGCAAACTCAATCAGAGGTAAGCTTCTTCAAATAAATGAGCATTGGGCTAATGCCAGTCATACATCAAGCTGTCAGAAAGCTTTTAACATTTAACCACTTATTACTGAGATAATTGCTACATAAATGGTTTGCTATCACAATCAATAAATAGCATGGCAAACACTCACAAGAGACAGCAATGTGCACGTGTGGTGTGCATATTTTCCAGTGAAAAAGAACCACTCCAAATTTCTTCTATCTTAAGCTTAAGTTCTCCGCACAGCACCCCATTTTTCATCCTATTTACTGTCAGATGTTCTTGGGAAAAAAATTGATCTTGGAAATTCAGCAAAATACATTTTGAATTGTAAACAATATGGAACAAGATGAACAATTAAGAAGTTAATTGTGAACAACAAATCAGAAAGCAGCTTTCCTATAATACATAGTTACTCCAAAAGTAATGCCTCCTATTTACTTCCACAGAAACTACCACTGATACAAGAGCACAGTAACACTAGTTGGTAGAGCAAACTCTCAGCAACAAAACACTGTTTTTCAACAGTCACCACCACTAGCTGTGCATTTTCACCAGAGATGAACAAGAGCTTGCATGCTGTGCTTGTAACAATCTGCAGCAGCATCTCCCTGTGCTCACATCCACTGTTTGGTCTCCAGAAATGTTTAGTAAGTATTGATGAACATCAGGGGGTGCAGTCTTTTCTGCATAGAGCTCTGGCTTAACTCACCAATTGACAAAATGACAGTCATAAACAGAAATAAAAATACAATCATTTTAAAAGCCATAAAAACACAAGATGAAGCAAAAGCTTGAAAACTTGATAAATATACTACTCTATGGAAAAGTCCTTCACATAATATGGCTCGCTTACACTGGGCAAAAACACGATTAAAAACACTCTCTAGAGTAATTCAGTGGTTGAAACTTGGGACAGACCTTAAATGTTCCAAATCTCTCTTCAAGAAAAAATAAGTCAAAGTAATCATATTCATTCACTCATTACTGCTCTCTACTTGTTAAGAGAAGCTAAAGAATATAGAAAGCAACCAGTTTGCATTCCTTCTCAGTACCAAACACCTGGTACTTCTGTTCTTTAATTTGTGTCACTTAGTGAAATTGAGCTGAGCAACAGTACTCCAAACAGATTTGTAGCAGATTTCAGCATAATCTTCATTCTAACAAGGATGCTGTGAGGTTCTCAAAACCAGGCTAATGTGTAAGCACTGAATAAGTCACCAACACTGCCCCATTAGGCAAACTATCATCAAGGAGAGACTGTAAATCATGAATGCACATAAAGAAAAACAACAAAGGTCAACACTGCATCTAAAAGTGACACAACAGGCCTCAGTTAAGTCTACATCTTGCAACAGAAGTGCTGAAATGAACCAGCAAAACTGTGAAACCAATTTAAAAAGTGGAATTCAAATGAAAGAAATTAAAGGATTGAATGTGTTAAAGATTTATTCGCAGGAGTGTGTTTTCATATACACAGTATCAGGTGGGTTTACCTTCTCACAGCTGTATCACAACAGATTCTTCAAATGAAGCCAATGCCTAATTCATGCTCTCCAGCTCAATGGAAGATATGGTGAACCATCTACACTGTACTTTTCAGTAACGAACTGCATCTACAAGAATAACATCCCCAAAGCATATTTAAACACACCTAGATCCCTTCTAAGTATATTAATAATTACAATAGTGTATTCAATAGCCCTCAAGGAAATTAAACTTTTTATTTTTAATATAATCTAGTTTAAAACTAGAAAATAAAAAGTTTAATTAAATTACATCTTTGCATTCCTTTGTAGAAAGAAAAAAAGTACTGAAGATTGCTAGTCCAAGTTTTCACTTTTAACAAGCGAGTTATATGGGTATCTGAAAGCAAGCATATTGGTCAAAATGAAAGCTGTCCATTCAGTTCATATCTTACTACCTGTTAAGTCTCCCATCTATTACAATACCATTTACACCATGGGGTCATCCAACACTAACTGCAAATTCACACCAAACCTATTATGCTCTTTATGTGTATGTGTATATGTATGAACAAATATGCTATTTTGAAAAGTTCATAATCACATACGTTTGTTTACACAGACTGTCAAGAAAAGAACTATTTTTACTTTTAAAACAGACAAGTAGGTCAACAACTACTGAGCTAGAGAGAAATACAAGAACCTCAAACCTCCCACAAATGGCAAAGCCTGACAACAAGCACATTAAACTAAGCTATTGGAAAATAAGTAAATAAAAAAGAAATTATACAGAGTAATCATTGCCACACAGCTTGGCAGCACATCCGTAGTTAAAAGTCCATCACCATTTCTATCAAAGCTAATACTGCTGTTCTTTTCCAACAGTGCTTGCTGCCTCTGTGACAAATCATCAACCCAGATACATATTTAAGTTTCAAGTATTCATTAGAATAAACCATCGCCTTTGATCAAAAAAGCTTGGCTGAAATTGCACATGGCAAAAGTGACTGAAATTATAAGATACAGTAGCAACAGTTATTTAATATCAGAGCAAAGTAAGTGCACTGAAATTTTTATATGAAACGGTGCTTCTCATTAGTTACAACATCTGCTCTGAAAGCAATGCCTCCTACTTTAGTACGTTGGCCTATGACAACAGGGGTGGATGCTGGTGTTACAGCAGTAGAGGTTGAACCTTCCTGCCAACATTCCATGACACACTGTTGCCGTGTGACAGATGGCAGCATAGTAGTCTGGCACAATGGCATCTGAAGCAAGGGTTTGGGATTTAATTCCACCCAGCAAAGGGGAAAAATGGCACCCACTGACATTCAACAACACTTGTTGCATGTTTCTGGAGACCGAACAGTGAACAGGAGTACAGTGAGGCAGAGCACGATGCGTTTCAGCAGCAGAGACAGCAAACGTGGGTCACCTCCACTAAACAAAATGCAGCATGCAGGTTCCTGTTCATTGACGGTGACTATGTTGAAAAATACTTTTGTAGCTGAGAATTTGCTCTATCCAATAGTGTTACTGAGCTCCTTGTACGTGTGGTAGGAGGCATTACTTTCGGAGTAACCAACATAGACAATATATGCACAATTACACTGAGGCCTGAAAAGTTCATGAAAGCTTAATGTTTTATATACACTGCTGTATTAAGTATTCTGCCTGTAGTGGAAAGATTCTGAACAATAAGAGGATGAATGATTGCTCACTGTCTGGGAGATACCAAACTGAATTACTACAGGACAGGTGCAAAATCATTATCAGAAGCAGCTCTTTACTCAAGGCAATTTTAGGTCACGATAATTCTTGCAGTGAGACATTATGGATACTAAAAGGTTACGCTGGGTCAATATGCAATAAGCATTCAAAGAAGAGAAAAATAATTATGCCATTTAAATGCAACGATCCCATTTCTGGCTCAGGAGCTGTCTGAGTCAGGAATAAGGCTCTAGGGAGTTGTCACTTGATATCACCATAGCTAACACACTCCTTTCCTCATGAAGCCTGTGCTCATGGGGAACAGGATGGTGGCCTGGATGGACCTGCACTGCTACAGGACAGATAACTCTTTCAGCTGAGGTACTCGTGAAACACATTAGGATTTCCTCTCCAGCAAAATGCATTTTAAACACTTTCCTAGACTTTGATACCTGGGTGACATTGGATTGTCATCTTTAACACAGGAAACAAAATTACTGAGACTCAATCATCCAAAGCAGTGCTTCATTCTATGTACCATGGATGTCTGTTTCCAAGACTTTCAATGCAACAGTGAAACGTTTCCTCGTTTGCAGAAGAAACAGCACTTTATGGTCAAGGACTTGCAATTTCAAAAAGCAATAATCAGCATGTAAGGAAATACACACAGGTCATAAGTCATTTGAAACAGATGCAGCAGCAAAAGAAAATTGGCTACATAAGACTGTAAATATAATTCAGTCCTAACAAATAAAGCCCTACATTATGTAGCCAAGAGATGGGTGTAACCAATTTTAATATGTCTAGAAAAACATTGCCAAGCTTATAGTTTTGATTCAGCAAAAATCCTTAATAATCTCTCATTTGAGCAACCTACAGACTACATTTTTGTATTTGCATATCATTGAGAACAGCCAACAGTTTTTTCCAGAAGTGAGACATCAGCCCTACAGAAGAACAAAAAGCTATGTTTAAAATTAAAACAAAACTAATATATGCTGAAATTCAGACTTTAAGCATCACAGTCTTCCACAGAACAACTGAAAATCATATAGCCTTAATAGTACACAATTATCCTATTACTGTACAATGTATATTTTATTTAAACAACATGCAAAAACCTCGGCATCAAGCTGATACACAATATTGACAGAACTGCAACCCCAACAATGCCCAATATTTGAACTTTTAAGTTCCTGTTCCAGCTGCTACAATTATGCTAATAGTAAGTAGTCTTTGCCATATAACTGACAAAGAAGCATTATACAGAAGTTTCAGGAAAAAATGGCTCAAATGCTTTTGAAAAAAAGGTAAACAGAAAATATTCTGTCTTACTAGCATTAAAAAAATAATAATTGGAAGCAGTACCTCATACATTGGTAATTGAAATGAATTGGTAATGCTCATAAATTGGTAATTGCTATGTGACAGGAGGCCTCAGTATCAGTTCATAGCTTCTACTACTGCTGCTCTTGTGCAAATCTATCCAAATGCAGGCAAGAAAAAGGCTTTTGAAAACTTTCCATGTGTATGTTAGTTAAGCAAGTACACAGATGAAATTTCTTGCCCACCCACCTACACAGAGCCTTAAATACTGCTTTGTAATGTTGTAGGGCCAGTTAGAGCCAAAACGAGTACCCCTTTCCCATTACTCTCAGTTCATCCCCTGCTGGTGGTAAGGCCAGAGGAAAAGAATGCCACAGAAGGCACCTGAACAGAAGCTAGGCAGACTGCTGTGAGGACTCCAGGAAGAAAGACATCAGATGCAAGTCGCGACAAGGGAGAAAACAGACTTGAGAGAGCACTGATAGCATCAGCAATGACTGGAAGTGGCCTGAAATTGAAGTCATTTCTAAGTTCACAAAAAAATGCTGCCAGCAAACAATGCCCATCAGAAAGTGCCCACCATGACTGCTGAACAAACTGTCTGAGGGAATTAAGAATGTTACTGCCAACAGTTCTGTTTTTGACTGTAACAGTGAAATCCATGCTGTACAAAGAAAGAAGTGAATCTAATTCCAACCCTGAGAAAATTTCTGCATCAATATAATTGATATTAAAAAGGAACCTATGAAGGTAACTAATTGAACTCTAGGAAAATGAGTAGAAAACATAACTATAATATTAAACCTACTCTGTAAAACACTGCTGTGGGGCAGGATTACAAGTGGCGTTTGATGCACTACCATAGTTAACCTACTTACATACATTATTAGAAAATAACCTTTAACTACATCACCGCATAATAGTTTAACCAGGATCTCTACCGTATTTGTGTTAAAGCAAGAAGCTTGACAATCTGTTCACAATAGCTTTTTCCCCCCTCTTCTCATCACTTGATTGTCCTGTGCCTTATTTATTGCACATCACTAAAACCTTTCATGAATTATTAACTTCCCACTGACTTTACCTACCATGCTCATCATCACAACACGAGAAATTCATTAACACTTATGGCAAAAGCTTCACAACATCTCTGCAAAGGGTATATAATAAAAAGACAGTCTCTCTATTGTTCCCCATTTAACACTGTAGTATCTTAATTTTGGATTGAGTTCTAAAGCCAACAGCACTTCATCTTAAAACACCTAATTCGACACACCTCTACAGGTGTTGAAACGGTCTCAATGATTTCTGTTGTAACACTGAGCAATTCTTTTAAAAGTAAGGTTGAAGGGTATGGGCGTAGGACTGTAGAAAATTAAGACCACCTTTCCAAACTAAAGGTAAACAGCTTATCTCCCATCACATGAACTACAAATAAAAATTCATACTGCAGGGTAGCTTCTAGATGTTTTAGTCAGTAAGCTATCCTTGGTGTTTTCACGATCGCCTGCTTTCATTACCCATATTTCTGTCACATCAGAAAGGGATATTGAGAGCTCCACAAGTAAGAGTCTCTTGGTTGAAACTATTCTAATTTCTGCAGTAAGTCCATTAAGCAAACTTGCTAATAAAGAAAAAAAAAGCAATCCCTTACATAACAGTACTTTGTAGAGTTGCTCCTCAATACTGTTAAACCCATCTAAAATTAAAGTATTTTAGGCTAAAATCAAGGAAAAAAAATCATCTGTGGACTTTCAGAGGTCACAGTGTACTTCAAAAGGGGAAATAAGAAGACTTTCAGCCTTGATCTTTGCTTGCCAAGCAGCACAAGATTCTTCCAAAGAAGTGTAGCACAGTTAAAAGACACAGCCCAAGTAATGCTTGGACCAGTGCATAAAGTTAATAGGCTTTTCACTGTCTCTACAATATCCATAGAGTTTAATAAAACTACAGTTATACAAGCCTGTAACAAAATTTAAAACAAATGGATGAAAGTATAAACAAAGTAGCTTATGCTTAAAACTAAGGAAACTTTTCTTCCCACAGCAAAGATGAGCTCACAAGCTCACAAAAATTGACCAAAAGGACTCCAGATTTTCAACATCTGTCCAACAAGCTACAATTACTACATTACCAAATATTTTGCCGATGGGAAAATTCACCTGAATGGATTCCTCCAGAACCATTCAAATGGTATCTATAGCCCTGAACAGGAAACTGCTGTTAAGATTATAGCTAATGATATTTCTTTGTTTAAAAAAATCTTTAGTTTCATTACAGTTTTTACACAATTATGGTGGAGTTACACTGATGTAACAGGGTGGAACTAGATGGCAAACATGAAAATCAGTCATGTGGAAGAATACAGGAAACCCACAGGAAGATAAGTGAAGGATCCATTCAGTTTACTTACCCTGCTAAAATGGGGAACAAGACTATGTACAGGATGACTGCCCCTATCTGTAATGCTTCATTGAATATAAATAAATAAATGAATAAATCACAGACCTTGGTCTGTTGGCTTGTCAGATAAACTATAATAAATCTAAGACATAAGACAACTGAATAACAGCCTCAGGTTTTCATTCTGTTTTTGAAGTAACACATTCCATCTTTGCTCAAAGCTCTGAAAGAGGCTATAATTTCCTGAAGAATGAACAGAAAATCATATCGAAGCCTTGTTTTTTCTAAAATCTCTGCCAGCGTCCATCTAGAGAGGCGATCGTGACTAAATTCTACACAGCAAGGGAACCACAGAGTAAAAAACCCCTGTTAGCCACCACCCTGCAAAATGCTCTTTTCCTCTTTTTGTCTCCTCCTCTTTTCCCTTTTCTTCTTCTCCCCCAATAGAAAAGGAGGAAGAAAGAACAAAATAAGCCTATCTAAGCCTCTTTGAATTCAAGTCTACAAAACCATTTGGGTCTTTTTTTTCTTTTTTTTTTAAACAGATTAAATTTACTTGTAACATCTGCAAGATCTGATACACAAGAAGATATTTCTGAAAATAATTTTAAGGACAATTCTTTTTTAATACATATAATAAAACAAATTAAAATCTGAACAATTGTATGCATTTACAGAGCATCAGGAGGCCAGAGTCACCCCCTTTCCCTTTTATTTTTATATACTTTTATTAACACACGCCCAGCACATTACAGATTACCCATTATCTAAGTCTATCTAAAACAAGAGTTAGCATTTCACCAAATCAATAAAGCATCAGCGCTGCATTCTTCTGTGTCTCTGGCTGGCGGTGATGAAGTGCTTTCTATGATAAAACCCCAGTCTCCCAGGAGGGTCCAGTCTGGTGCCCTAGAGCCAGATTATCACAGGAAATTCCGCAGCAGCATTTGTGGGAAGAAACATTTCTTCCCTCATATTTTAATTACAAAAAGACAGAAGCCTTCTGGCTGTGTATGCTACTAAGGATAGACCAAGACTTTCCTCCTGCATTCAAAGAGTTTGAGATCACCACCAAAGGCAGTCAGAGCCTCCCCTCTCTCTGTCTCACCATCTGACAGAGGCTCACCTCTGTCTTGTAATGTGCTACAGCCATGGGGCTGCATGAACATCTTCTCCCTACTGTTCAGATCAGAATTATATTCACCAATTTTATTGATGTTATACACAGAAATAGCT